CCATAGATGAGGCAGGCGGCCTTGTTGAGGAAGGAAGTGGAGGCCAAGGTCCAGAGCGCCAGCTGCTTATCGGCCTGCCTGCCCAGGGCACACTCCAGGGTCAGGGGGCAGAGGGCGGAGTCAGGCTGGCACCGGAAAGAGGCTACCATCACGGCTGGCAACTGGAGGCTGAGCACCACCCACAGGAAGACCGTCTCGACCAAGAGCAGCAGGGCCACGCACAGGCCGAAGGCCAGGGAGCGCATGGCCGGGCAGGCTGCCATCTTGGATCTCCCAGCGGCCATCTTGGACGGAAGCTCCTTCCCCTCAGACAAGACAGCCAGGTTAAATCCAACTTGGGCAGCTATCTTGGATGCCTCAGATGGAGACTCCTCCCCTTCGGAGTTGGCGGCCATCTTGGATGCATCCATGGCTTCGACATTTGGGGCCTGGCATCTGCCCTGGGAGCGAATGAGCCGCATGAGCCCAACGGGGAGGAGGCAGGCGAGGAAGCCGAGACCCCAGGCGGTGGCGATGGGGGCCGGGAAGCACTGGTTGAAGCAGATAGCTGTGCAGAAGGCCCGAGAGGCCTCAGTTTCCCCCGGGGCTGAGGCACAGACCAGGCTGGGCCCCGCTGAAGGCCCGGGGCCATCGGCCACAAAAAGGGCAACCAGTCGCAGCCCCAGAAGGAGGTACCAGAGGGCCAGGCCCTGACAACCATCCTGGCCGGAAGCCCCAGCCCCACCCAGGGCAGGGTGCAACACACGGGCCAGGCCAGCGACGACGGCTGCAGCCATCTTGGAGGGGGGAGAGAGAACGGGGCAGAAGAGAGGGGTAAGTGGGTGCCCCTCACTCCCAACCTGCACCCCCCACAGCAGTGTCCCTCACTCCCGACCGCAGCCTCCCACCAGCAGTGCCGCTCTTTCCTGACCTGCAGTCCCACATAGCAGTGCCCCCCACTCCTGATCCACAGCCCCCCGCAGCAGTGCCCCTCACTCCCGACCCGCACCCCGCACAGCAGTGCCCCTCACTCCCGACCCACAGCCCCCCCCACAGTGGTGCCCCCCACTCATGACCCGCAGCTGCCCTGCATCCAGGCCCCACCACCAGACCACAGGCTTGGAGCAGGGAGCCGGGATGCCTGCGTTCTTTGTGGGGGCGGGGAGGAGGGGGCTCTGGGAGCCCGGACCCCTGGGTGCTCTGGGCAGGGTGGGGGCGAGCGGGGTCTTGGATGCTTGGGTGCTCTGGGAGAGGAAGGGGCCCTACCTTCCCCGCTCTGCTCTGGGCTGCGTCTGATGCCCTCCCCCCCCACTCCTTGCTTCCCCTTTCCGGGGCCTGGAAGTGAGACCGAAACTTGAAGTGAATGAAGCCTCTGTGAAGTGGGGGTTGGAGGAGGGGGGGGTAGGAGCTTTGATGTCTGGGTTTTCTGTGGGGGAGGGATGGGAGCAGGGGGATTAGGAGCCAGCACCCCTG